CATTTTCCAATAATTTTTCCACTTCTTTGCGTACTGCATCATTAATTACGGAGTTGAACTTATGCCTAACCTGCCACATCTGGGGGTAGAGTGGATCGACGTTCAGTTTGTGCGTGGCGATTTCCTTTGGGATACCTGGCATATCTGCATGGCTAAAAGCAAACAAGTCTGTGTTAGCAGTTAAAAATTCATGAAACTTACCCGGTTCTTGAAGTTTGCAGCCAATGTAAGCTTTCTTGCTGGGGTCGTTGTCGTCTAATTGAACGGGGTCGAGGTCCTCTATGGTCGATCTTGTGGCCTCGACCATGTCGGGGTCTCTGATGACGTCCTCGCATACCGACCTCGACCTTGTTGATTGCTATGCCTATTTTTCTTTATTCTTTTTTTGTTAAGTAGTCGTACAGTCTAGGGCGATGTGGTAATATTCTAGGGATGTGCGTTGTTCCCCTCGTATACTGAATATTCCCCATGGAGTTGGAAATTTGATGACTTGGTACAAGCTGGAGGGGATGGCTCTCATGGTATGTATCCATGGTCGCCCTATTATGGCGTTGTATGTCATGCCCTGGTCCATGATGTGGAATATGGTTTCTAGAGTGACTCCATCCGCCAAGACGGGGAGTGTGATCTCGCCGGATTTTCGCTCAACTGCATTGTTAAAGCATGTTAGTGTGATGCAGCATGTCACAATCTTGTCCTCGAGTTTCATTTGTGCGAGTACTTGAGGATGGATAGTACACGCGTCGCTCCCATCGTCTAACATAATCCGTCTAACGTCAGTAACTAAAATTTGTAAAGTGATAACGAGAGCATCATAGTGAGGGAAAGCCAAACCGTCAGTATCTGACTTATCGAAAATGATACTTTCTTCGAGTTCATCATACCATTTGTGGGTGATTGACCGTTTGAGCTTGTGGGTTGTGGTGAACTTCACACTGTTGATGGAAGCGTCATCCCCGCCACCGATGATCATATGGATGGTGCGGGCTGGCGAGGGTGGTTTTGGCGGCCCTTGATGTTGTTCGCATCCCCTGGCAAAGTTGGTCCTTCCCCGACCGCTCAACAATTCTTTGAGGTGTCCATGTCGCTGCATGTTTATGACCTCCTGTCTTAGGGCGATGCAATCTTCAGTTTTGTGTCCTCGCTCTTGATGGAACTCGCATAGGGCATCTGATTTTCTGGTATTCGGGTCTGACCTAATCTTTTGTGGCCACTTCACCTCTGGTCCGAGCTTCTTCAAGGCGTAGACTATCTCTGTAGGTGACACACAAAAATTGCGAGCGGATAATAAAGGGAGCATACCTCTCTCATTCTGGTGAATCCCTGTCCTTGATCGGGGTGGGCCTTTTTCATGGCGGGATGAGGATGCAGCGATGGTTCTGACGTATGGGAGATGTCATTCCCGATTTGGTCATGAGGCCACGGGGTCTCTTCTGATATCATTTTTTCGATCTTTTCTGGATTCTGCTTGCACCTAGGTCAGTCGATGGGTCAGCCCATTGAGGTCGTCTTCGTCTGCTCGAACTTCGGCATAATATGCGTTATGTATTTTGTCCCATGTCGTTGGGGGATATTTCATAAGCTGACTTAATAATTTTCTTGTCGCCCTCAAACCATTTCTGCTTAGCCCGTTTTGAAAAGCCGCTACCGACATCCCTTCCGATACATTGGGCAAGGTCATTCTTACTCGGTTGAAACGGGCGAGGAGGTCCCTTAGCCCCTATCTCAGAGACTGTTGGATAGCAAAGATGTTGTTGACTCTTGCCTCAGCCTTCTTGGCCCGGCATGGGCTGTTACGAACTTATCAACCATTTCCTCAAAGGTTTCGATGGAACGTGCATGCAGTTGCGAATACCAGGTTAATGCGCCTCCCGTGAAGGTTTCGCCGAATTTCTGTAGCAGAATTAAGGATACTTGTTCCTTGGCAAGGTCATTACCTTTCACGGTAGTGACGTAGTGGGTCACATGATCCTCGGGGTCGGTTGTGCCATCGTATATTTTCAGATAGGGTGGCATTTTAAAGGTCTTTGATATGGCATGTGGGGCAACATTATCACTATATGACTGCTCGATAAACCGACCGGAATCTCTCTTCGGAAATAGCTTAGGAGCGCCCGGTATTTTATCGACCCTTTCTTGGTGTTCTCTCATTTGGTCCCGAAGTGCCTTGTTCTAGTTTTCCATTTCCTCCATCCTTTTCAGAATGGCCGTGAGAGTGTCGTCACCTGCATTGTCAACAACATTGTGAGTAATACCTGTCGTCTTGGGAGGAGGAGGAGGAGGTTGATCATGTTGCTCGTCCACTGGTGGCGTAACACAAGTTCTCGCATTTTCTGCGGCCACGTCCCGAGCGAGCTTATGAAAGACGCGGGTTAGTGTATCGGTTAGCCAGGCCTCAAGGAGCTTCTTTATCGCCGGTGGTGCCTGCCATCCCACGGATGTGGAGGCTGTCTTACCAAGAGATTTTGTGATGTTGCAGTGGGGAGGGGTGATCCACCTCGCCTAGAAGAGGCATTAGGCGTCGTGTCCTCGTCCACTGCTTCAGAGCTTTCGTGGATGATGATCATGAGGTTGGTTGGGAGGTCACTCATTATTCTCATTATTTCTTCTCCTGCCATATTAGATCTATGCATGTAAAGAGAAAAAGGTTCTTTTTTTTTTTACGTTAGTGACCAGTGTCGATTGTAGATCTAGAAGAAACTAAAAGACTTAACTAGAAAATCCCCACAAAATCCCCAAACTGTTCGACCAAAAAGTATAACTTTCGGCTAAATTATTAAATTTAAGTAATAATAGGTTAAGTCTAGTTAAAGTTAATAACTCTAGATTCAAATCTGAAAAACGTGTGGGAGATGGGGACAGATCCCATAAAAGGTTGATGACAATAAGTACAAAATATTCTTAAAGAGTGAGTAATAATGAAGATGTAACTAGCAATAAATAACAATAAATGCATTTAAGTAAATATGAGGAATGATTCACCCAATAATGGATGGATTGGACGAATATTTCTCATGACAATGATGAATGACAGATAGATCCGAGATTTTCTTTGATCAATCCTCGGATCTGGTAAAAAGGTGTGAAATAATATGAGCAAGAATCTTGATAAAAAAAGTGATCTTTGTATTTTTGTCAGAGAGAGAATCTTCCTTTGAAAAATGTTCCTATCAAATGAATATTACATGCCCTTATTCCCTTTTTTTTCCTTATATATTTGACACATATCCCTAGCAAACCTTAATAGTATAAGTGCAGAGAATATTCTCTCTAATATCCTATTTTAAAAACTAGCGGTCATTATTCTTTACACGATGCACGACCTTGGTCATGGTTGACATCTCGGCCACGAATCTTGCCTCTTCCTGTTCGAGCTCGACCGACTTTTTCCTTAATGTCGCATTATGCTAAATATACTTAAGGCGGATTTTGGCCTATACAATAATGATGGATAGATCACATAGGTTCAGATCGCGCAACTGATAGAGAAAGCAATAAATTATCCTACACAACAACAACAACAATCCAATATAATCCCACTAGTGGGGTCTGGGGAGGGTAATGTGTACGCAGACCTTACTCTTACCCTGGGGTAGAGAGGCTGTTTTCGATAGACCCTCGGCTTCCTCCCTCCAAGAACTCCCCACCTTGCTTTTGGGGTGACTCGAACTCACAATCTCTTGACATTAAAAGCAATAGTATAATTTTTATCCAATGCAATATAAAGACACGTTGATGAACAAAGCATCCCACGTCAACTAGGATTTGAGAAAGTACTACGTAGGTATGTAGGCAGCCTAACACATACAAGCACAATGCATGTATTAAATTGTGATAGTTTGTTATCATTAAATGATAAATTAAGATAAAATACATATTTAATTACTCCTACGTATTATGGTAAACTTTACATTATAAAAGGAACATGTGCAGTGGTGCACTAGATGTATGCTAAGTATTTTTCGAATCCTCGACGGAGTGAGTAATTGATAAAAATATTGGCCTCATTTGTTTGCATTTAATGGTGGTCTGAATCTTAATTATTCAGATTTCCGACATTAAGTGTATTTATTTTTAAAATCCGAATCTTAATTATTCAGATCTTAATCGTTAAGTGTGTTTATTTTTTTTATTTCACAATCACTTAATGAGTCTGAATAGGTCTGTATGATTAAAATCTGTAACAGAGACTTAATTTTATTAAGATGCTATCATCCATATTTATTATTAACAACCGCCATCGCCTACCATTATCAACTACCACCATGCCGTCCACCACCACTATACTCAACTACCGCCCCATCAACCTCATCATAGCTGCCACCATTGTCGACTACCACCACCCACCATCCCCACCACTCTCAACATCACCATTCTCAATGACAACTAACACTCATCCACCTCAACTACTACAACTAACCACCCCATTACCATCAACAACCATAGCTGGCACTGTCCATCATTATAAACTACCACCGCCCATCACCATCTTCCTCTATCACAACTACCACCACCAACACTCGTTATTATTAACGATCACCACCCACCACCACCATCCTCAATCAAAGTAGCTACCACTACCAATCACCACTAGCTACTACCCTAAACTACCACCATCAACCAAATCTACCTCCAACCACCGCTTTTAGTCGGCATTCAGAAGCACTATTATTAGCCATTACCACCAGCAACTATCTTATCATATTTTAAAAAATTATATATTTTATTGATAAAATATTAGATTAATTAGTATTTTATTTGAATTTTATGTTTATTAATTTTCAAATAAAGGTAAATTTTATATATTCAAATATTAAAAATCAAACAGTTTTAATTATTTAATATTCAGATTTTAATACACATTTTAATATTCAGATGTGTATTGAAATTCAAATATTTAACCTTAATACACATATTCACGCGTTTTAATTTTAGCACCTTGACATGCATATAAGTTGAAAACCCTATACAATACAAGTTCACCTTTATAAAGGCACACAGCTGACGGCCAAAACCCAAAAATCTCCTACTATTCCTTTGCTCTCTTCTTTCTTCCTAAAACTATGGCCCCCAAAAGCAAATCTAGCTTAGTAGACCAGCCTCCTTCTGCTTCCTCTTCTGAAGAACAGGACACACAACAAGCAGAAGAATCCCAAGAAGAAGAAGAAGCGCAATCCGAAGAAGAAGAATCTGGTGAAGAAGAAAGTGAAGAAGAAGAAGAAGAACCCAAAACAGCCCCTCCTCTTGAAAAAAAACCCACTTCCCAAAAACCCCTTCAAACCCCACAAAACAAACCTCAGTCTTCTTCTTCTTCTGAGTCCGGAACTGAAGATGGGTCAGGATCCGATTCCGATTCCGATTCGGGTCAATCCCAACCTTCCCCTTCTGCTTCCGACTTCACCGTCAAGCCCAGTATATCCGCTGCAAAATCCCCATCAAAACCCACTTCCAAGAGGCCTCAAGAAACCCAACAACAACAGGCCCAAAAAGAAAAACAATCAAGGCCCAATAAAAAGCCCAAGATTTCTGAAGAAGATAGTAAGGTTTCTGAGGAGAAGAAATCAGCTGCTACTACACCTAGCAGGCTATGGAGTGATGAAGATCAGCTTGCTATACTCAAAGGTATGGCTGAATTCAAAGCCCAAAAAGGTTCTGAACCAAATGCAACTGATATGTCTGCTTTTCATGACTTTATTAAAGGGAAATTGCAAGTTGAAGTTTCAAAAAGTCAAGTTACTGATAAGCTTAGAAGGTTAAAAAAGAAATTTTTAACTAATGTGAAAATTAGTGACGACCCTGTTTTCTCTAAACCTCATGATTATTTAATGTTTGAGTTTTCTAAGAAGATTTGGGGTGGTGCTGGAACTAGTGATACTAATGGAGTTAATGAGAATGTTAACAATGGCACTAATGGGAAAGCTAAAAAGACTGTTGATGTTGTTAAGAAGAGTACTTCTGAACCTAAGAAAAGTGCTAAAGTTAGTACCTTTACTAAACCGAAGGATGATGAGAAGCCTAAGGAAGACGAGAAACGGGCCGCTGTAAAAGAGGTAGATAAGGAGGATGTTGTGGTAAAGGGTGATGATCAACGGGATTTTCGGTCTAAGTATCCAAATTTAGCTGCATCCTTTAGTATGCCGGCCATGTCTGCTATCTTTCCGAATGGTGTTGATATATTTAAGGAGAATATGAATTTGATTGGTAGTGACAAGGCTAAGGTGTTGGAGGAGAAGTGGAAGAAACTGCACGATGATGAAAATGACATTATGCTCAAGCGCTTAGATTTGATTAGAGAGCATTACAAATTGGTGGTTGATGCAAGGAGAGGTAACTAGATGTTGATGGATTATTTTGTTCTTTTTGATGCAAACATTTAGGTACCGAGTCTGGAGCTTTTACTTTTTTGTTTCATATATTCTTGTCTCTCAAGACAATTTGTTCTTCGTGTTAATGAACTTATGTTTGATCCTGCAAGTTAGATTTTCTTTTTAGGTTTATTCGTACATGTTATTGCTTCTTTAGTTTTATTACAAGTGAAATGGTTTATGTGGGATCTTTAGTTTTGCTTCCTCTGTTTGTTCGATTGTGATTAGCTCTATGAAAAGTTTGCAATGAAATGCATACATATTCCTAAATTTTCGTGACATTGACGTTATATATTGCAAATCATGCATCCTATCTGTATGGTGGAAGCAAGCAGATGAAGTAGAAATTCCACCAGAACAAAGTTCAATTGTCATTTCCTATTCCAGATAAAGAAACACCTAAATGGTATTTTTCTCAGTTTTTGAGCTTGGGTTGTCCTTCAACTAATTTACATCACTCATAAAGATCTATTCTTCCATTTTTTTTTTGTTCTTAACTAGGTCTACATCGCTTTCAAAAGACCTAGGTGTTAAGAGACTTTTCTCCATGTGAGATTAGGTGTATCTTATCCCCTGTTAAAATCTCAGTTATCGTATTGTGAAGCCTATAGACCAGTGCATTTGGAGGTCTGCATAAGACATGGCGAAGCTATCTCAGGCGATTTTCTCTCACTTTATCCTCTATATGTGCTACCTGCACTGTAACTTTTTCCAATTTACCTTATCAAAAAGAATTGTCCAGCTTTATAGGATCATACGTCTCTTTTAATCTGTTCTTCGTCGACTTTTATGAACTTTTTGAGCCCTTGTGAGATGACACTTGCTGCCATATAATATTGTCAATTATGTAATCATTCTATCCTTAAGTAAGTTGTATTGCACGGAACCGTTGTAGCATTTTTTTCATGTCAGCCATCCTAGTTTAGTTGTATGGTTATATATCTGTCTGTCGTACCTTTTTCCCGGGAGACTGAAACTAGATATCCAAATTGTTCCGTTAAGCACCATAAGTCCATCTAATCTCACTTCACCACCTTCATTCTATTTATGGTGCAACATCCCACCCTTTCATCTTCTCTCCTCTGGCCTCTGTCCCAATAGAATTACTTTGCACCATTCTTTGTTGGTGCTTGCTGAAACTTTTACTTCAGCTGCTGGATTTGGATATTTACTTGATGCACATTTATGTCTCTCTTGAGCAGTGGGCCTATCTGAAACAACCTCTCTACCGTCAAGGTAGGGGTAAGGTCTGCATACACACTACCCTCCCCGGACCCTACTTGTGGGATTACACTGGGTTTGATATTGTTGTTGTACTTGATGCACATTTATCTTATATGCTGAGTTTTTCTGCTGCTTAAGTTAAAAGGTGTTGGACTTCATTCGCTGGAAAATTATACTATGTAAATAGAGTAGAAATGATCTTTTTTGGTTATACCCGAGCTGTTGAATCCCCTTGTTATGTAGAAGAATTCAAGTATAGTAGTAAATTGTTTTCGAAATTACTTTGGGTCATAGGTTCGACTTCCAGCTTGACATCCTAGAATTTTTTTGAATCCCCTTGTATAAATTTCTGGTTCCCCTAGATTTTATTCATAGCTGGAATGCTCACGTTTATGTGCAGTCATGAAACTTTGATTGTTCTGACGGAGCTTATTGTTATATAAATCATATATTTAGTGCATCATTCTGTATTTCTTTTAAAATAAGTATGTGGTGCTTAAGCGAGTAGCATTTGCAGCACTCATTCAATTCTTTGGAATTCATCAGAATACATTTTCTCTTGATACAGCTGGTGTGATCTTAGTCATAACAGTATCTTTAGGATGGGCTAATATATTGGTGTGTTAGCTGCTTATTTTGCTCTATATTCTTTCCTTTGACGGTTCATTTTCTATTTCTTAATTATTCTTTCCTTCTAGAGTTTCAATTTTTTATTTTAATATTCTTTACTTGTTTTCTTAAGCTGATGATAAGGGCCTACCAGTGAGAGTTGTTAGTTTAAAATGAGCATGATCAAATGGTTAAGACCATTCAGTGTAGCTGATAAATTTGGCTAATAATCAATAAGAGTAAGTGGCTAAAAATAAGTTCTAGAGGTTTAATATTTTAGTTTAAATTACCAAATAAAAGAATATTTTAATTTTAAAACTGAAAGTGTGAGGCTGGCTCTATATTAACTTAGAAACCATAAGTTGTTGCGACAATGGACCTTTTCTCCTGTTCTGCTAACTAAGCCATTTTGGACCAAACGCATTGGCATGTGATGCTCAAATTAAACGAGCAAAATAGAGAATTGGCCGGTCTGCAGAAACTAATTGTAAAATGTATAAAATATATAGTATATTTTTTGTATATAATATACATATATACAAAAAAATATACATTTTTTCGGCTACATTATTTTTCAGAGTGCCTAAAAATATACATTTTTCAATCAAACAACGATATAGCCCTTAGCAAAAAACATATCAAGAACATTGATTATCAATAATAGTCTTCAATACTAATTCTTCTAACTATGATCCACAATCATAGGCTAAGCCAGAGAGTTTCACTCTACCAAAATATAACCCCCCCCC